AGAATTTGGGCTACCTATCAAGGGAGAAGTTGTCAAAAGTAACACCAAGGTGGTTAAGATTAAATACTTTTGTGGAAAAATAATACGTCGTAAGCTCGTTTGGCACTTGAAAACTTCTTAGCATTAAAATGTGGATTAAGCAGAAAAACTTCTCTTTCAGCAGTTTTCTAAGTGAAAGAAAAACTAGTCAAGTGACCACAAACTGTGCTGGAGGAGATTGTGATAAAAAGTCTCATGAAGATGTTTATTTTAGTAGAGTACAAGTTTTGTTTGCACTTATTTCTGAGAGTGAAGAACAAAAACGGTATAAATAGTTAAGTAACTAGCTCTCTGGGAATTTGAGGTTTAATTGTTATCTTGGGATGTAGTTGAAACAAAAATGTTCTTTTCTAGTGGGGCTTCCTTGAGTGGGATTTTTAATGGACTTGTTTTGGAGCCTCACCTTTTCAGCTGTGATACTTTCAACAGTGTTGATCGGTGGAAAGTGTTCTGGTTACACAAGTCTGGTTAGACAGTTTTCTGTTCAGCACATCTCAGCTTTGAGACTGTTAGGAGTTCTTCCGGGGCTTTTTTCATCTCTGTGTGTGTATTAAAAATAGAAAGAAATCGTAGCCGTCGGTCAGAGAAGGATTTCTTTTTCCTTTGATCTGATTGAGCAAGTGTCTTAAAGAAGTAAATGGCAGAGAAAACAATCAAGTGCCCTGTGTCAGTCTTGGGAAGTCTTTAGCAGTTGGCTACAGAGAGAAAACACCAAAGTCTACTTCCATCCCTGCTTCCCCCTCCCTGTGCAGCCCAGGTCACATGAAGATCCTCACTTCACAGCTCTGTCTTTGTCTTGGTCTCAGCATTCTGCTAAGAATGTTGTAAAGCCCACTAGTGTCTTTTGCCTTGGCTGCCTGAACAGTGGGCTCATTGACCTTCTCAGTGCAGTCATCAATTGTTTTCAGCTGTTACTGGACCAAAATCAAATCTGGCTTTGCCCAGCCCTTTCTTTGTGCCACAGTGTTTATTTGTTCACCAAGGCTGACGGAAGACCTAGTCCTGTAGTCTGCCTCTGCTGCCTCCTGAGCCCCTTGTAAAGAGCACCTATTCCAGGCGGGGGAAGCTGTAGCGCTGTGCTCTTCAGAGCATCACAGGAGGCATGAGATTTCTCTGAGTGAACTAGAAAAGGCCTGGGTTGGGCATCAGGCCTGGGTTCTGGAACTGACATTGCTACTCACTTGCAATGTGAGTACTTACTGTGCACGGGCAAATGCCTTCACTTTTCCCAAGCCTTAGTTCTTGACATGTAAGTACAGGTACCTGTCCTCATGGATTGTTTTTGAGAATCAGATGGAATACAGGTAGTCCCCAATTTATGATGTATTTGAGTTACAATGAACTGCACTTAAAACAGCCCTTTTTTTTTTTTTTGATACATCTCATCATTAGATATACTACATACAGCATTGCAGCATGTAATTTGCTGATACATTCATTTGCAGATATTCAGTGTTATGATTTATAAGAGTATATATACTGATAATAAAAGGCAATAATGATCATGAAAATGGAAAACAAGGTATTCAGCTTACGTCAGAACCAACTTATGACAGAGTCATATTTATGGAACCCCCATTGTAAGTTGAGGACTACTTGTAATGGTTGTGAAAAGTACTTTGAAAATATATTAGGATATGCCAAAATGACCAGTATATTACTAGTTATTCTTAAAAGATTTGCCTGAGAAAACTCTGGTAAGATGATACATTTTTATGGTTTCTTGGAATAGTTGAATAGATTTTGTCAGTGTAAATCTTAATCTACTTAAATTACAGTGACCACTCTCATTATAGCTTATCCTTTAAAAAAAAAAAATAAATAACAACAGCAGTAGGACTATTTGTTGGGAGAAGTGCCTTTGGGACTTTGGTTTTTAATTTATGTTTAGACCAGTTATTGAAGTTTAAGATCTCAGTTGCTTCTAAGCAGTAGTTTGGCTAGTAATAACAGTTAGCTTCATGTACCTTAATGCTCATTGCTGTGAACTCCTACAGGGCAGGGATGGAGTTGTATACAAGTTGTTGTTGTTATGTGCCGTCGAGTTGGACCCGACTCATAGCATCCCCTCCTTGGGTTGCCGGGGCAGTATCACTATGGAAGTAGATTGCCCAACCTTCCTTCCGAGGAGTGGCTGATGGGTTTGAACTGCCAGTCTTCTGGTTAGCAGTCAAGTGCCTTAGACACTATGCTACCAGAGCTCCTGTATACAAGAGACAACGTATAATGTGTGAGTTGGGGCTCCTTCCCTTACTGATGGCAAGTTCCCTTGGACAAGTTAGTTAAGTTCTCTGTGCCATATTGTTTTTATCTATAAAATGGTAAAGTGAACATAATAAATACATACACCCATAAAATCCCCTCATTGTTTCTGAGTCATGCATGTAAGTAATGCATGTAAGTAGACAATTAACTCTCATTTAGTGAATGGGTAATCGTTTTTCTTTCCATATTTTACCTGTAAATGTAATACCCTAATTTATTCATTTATGCTTGCCTACCTGCTATTGCCCCTTTTTACCCTTTGCCTTGTTGCATTCAGTGAATGCTGTCTTTTTGTTTCTTGTTTTATTTCTGAGGAATCATGAAAATAATGAGAGACTCCTAAGAGTTTTTCTATAAGAAGTAATAGAGCTGTACTTTCAATGATATGGTCTTCAGAGCAGCCAGTGGAGATAACCAATTGCAGTGTTTTCTATTTGACATCTTGTAGCATTTCTAGATTAATTATTGATTGATCATTATTGCTGCTGAGGAGCCTTGGTGGCACAGTGGTTAAAGCACTTGACTGGAAACCAAAAGGTTGACTGTTCAAACCTACTAGCTGCTCTGCAGGAGATAAGGCAGTCTGCTTCCCTAAATATTTACAGCCTTGGAAACCCTATGGGACAGTTCTACTCTGTCCTGTATAGTTGCTATGAATTGGAATCAACTTCAACAGTGGGTTTTTTTAAATTGCTGTACCAATGTTAAAATTTCAGTATAGTGATTTGAAATTTCAATTGTGTAGTCAGTTTTTAAAAATCTAGAACCTTGGGTCAAACATTGAAATTGAATACTTACTATACTTAGAAAATACAGCTATTCTATTGGAGTCTGCCTCTCTCTTGGGCAAGTGTGTGTGTGTGTGTGTGTGTGCGTATCTGTCTGTCTGAATTTTACCCATTTCGAAAGACAGGAGCTAGCTATGATATGAATAATCTTAAATAGAAGTTTATTTCCACAAAAATAATGATTGAATTTTCAAATTGAAATATAATACAGAAATGTGCACACATCATAGGTGTACTGCTCAGTGAATTTTCACAAACTAAAATCACCAGTAATTAGGACCCATCAAAAAACAAACACTGCCAGTATCCCGAAAGTTTCCCTCTACCCTCTTCCAGTGAAACTACCCCCCATAAAGGTAACCATTGTCTCTATTTGTATTTAATTCACTGTTCTTTTTTAAACGAAGTTAATGTGTTGTTTGTTGTTGTTGTTATGTGCTGTCCAGTCAGACCTGATTCATAACGACCCTTCCTTGGGTTTCTGAGGCAGTATCACCAGGGAAGTAGGTTGCCCACCTTCCTTCTGAGGAGTGGCTGGTGGGTTTGAACCGCCAGCCTTCTGGTTAGTGGTCAAGTGCCTTAGGCAGTACATTACCAGAGCTCCTAGTTGTGTTGTTTAATTAGTATTAAGTTGTATTTCTCCGAACCCATGCCAGGTGGCTGTGGGCTAAAGGAGAGGGCAGGAGAGAGGTAGATCTGTAGGAGAGAAGGGAAAGCCGACCCAGGTTAAAAATGGGGTATAATGTGAATGATCCAAATAAAGATGGTTAAGGGTTAATTTGAACTTGATACCTTTGCTAAGGGAGAGTGTTGCCATATGTATGTTTTTTTAAGGAACCTTGATGGTGTGGTGGTTAAAATCTTTATCTGGTAACACAAAGGTTGGCAGTTCTAACTCACCTGATGCTCTGCAGAGGGTGGGGAGTGGTAGGGGGGCGTGGCAGTCTGCTTCCCTAAAGATTTGCAGCCTTGGAAACCATATGGGGAGGTTCTACTCTGTCCTGTATGGTTACTATGAGTTGGAGTCAGCTTGATGGGAACAGGCTTTTTGGTATTACACATATTTTATTAAAAATCATCAGAATTTTAAAAAGTAGAGTATTTAGAAGGAAGAATTACCTGAAGTTGAAAGGAGAAATGAAACAGAACATCGACAAAATGTTTTTCTGTACAAGTATTTAGGCATACAGTAATGTTTTAGATACTGTTTGTTTATGAGAACACTGCTTTAAGTATGCAAAGGTGTTTTTTTTGTTTTTTTTCCTCCAATAATGTTTTTGAAGACTATGAAAAGGAAAGTTGAAATTACAAAGAATTGGCTGGTGGAAATTAAGGTAGACAGGCAAATTGGGAGGTGTCCCCACTATACTCCCAGGGTGAGGTCTGGGAGACAGTGATATGTGTACATGAGGCTGTGGGAAGATGCAGAGACCTGAGACGGGGAGCCAGGAGTCTGCCATTCTTGTCCTGGTTCTGCCTAGCTAGTTGTGTGATCTTAAACAAGTTACGAGACCTTGGGCCCTGGCTGCTTTTGTACAGTCGTATATTACCCGTTCTCCCTGCCTTGGGACTTAGTGGTAAAGATCAAATGACATGATAGAAAGAATTTTGAAAAATTAAAAGGACTAGACAAATAATTTTATGGCGATACAAAAATTAGGTTGACTTGGTCATCATAGAAAAAGAAATGATGAGAACATTCCTTAAGATCATTCAGCTCCCTTTGCTGTGAAACTGAAGTCATGTAGTATCTTTGTTTCCCAAGTAGACCTATTTGTCAATTAAGCCAAGGTCATGGCAAATTAGTACATTTCTGGTTTAAAAATTGATCTTAGAAGGATTTGGTTGGTGTGACTAGATTTACCAGGATTTGACCAACTCTGGGTGACCTGTAAAATCCTATTTCAGACCTAATCTGAGAAACCTGCAAGCGACAGCAGCCCACGGGGTCCTTCGACAGCTTGGCCTGGAGGAGAACACATGAAAGGAAGGTTTGTTTTTGCTGACTGTAATTTATGAAAGTGTTTACAAATGAAAGTAGAATCATAATGCACAAAGGATTTTTTTTCCCCCTTTTCAGAATCCCAAGAGGCTTTGTGTTCTGTGACAAAGTATTTCTATACAGTTGCTCCAATGACAGAGCTACCTGCGCCCTTGTCCTACTTCCAGAATGCACAGATGTCTGAGGACAACCACCTGAGCAATACTGTACGTAGCCAGGTACAGTGTCAGCTTCTGAAACTGCACTTGCCAGACTGTGGGTGCAGTTACCCCTTTCACCTCCCAGAGAGGCTGAGTGGGCCGAGCAGGCTCCTCTCCTCCATCAGATTTATGTGTTTGTTGAACTGTCACTGAGGGAAGAGCATTGTACCCTTTTATGCTGCAAACCCCAAGCTGTTTAGGACATGGTGTTGATACAGTTCCTGCTTGGCACAGTTGTGGCCTTCTCCAGCTTCCCCAGGCATACAGTACCTCATAGTTTCACATTGTTTATTATTTTACCTCTCTTATTCTGTTCTTGGGGCAGGATCACCATCTTTCTTACTTCTTTCATTTTTCACTTTTCATCTAAGTATAACATACATACATTTTATTTACTTTTATTTTTCAGTATCTGGCACAGTTCCTGACTCTGCTCAGTAAGTGTTCATCAACAAAATAATTGCCCCGTGACAAATGCAAGGCTATGTGTAAAGATCCTAAGAGCGTTCAGTGGAGGGAGTTGGGGAAAGGGTGTAATACATGGCATGGGGCACAGAGACTCTTCATCTATCACACAAAGGTCAAATCTGGCCCCATAACTCTGTGAACTAATCGTTATAAATTGATTATTGATTCAGTCATTATGGATTGAGTCCAGAGTCAACAGATGACCTGTGAGGTGCTTAGATAATTGGTGGGATTTTCAGAGGTGGTGCTAGAATAGAGGGAAACCTAAGGCCAAAGATGAGCTTTGTTGAAGGGTACACTGGAGGGGGGTGGGGGGGGACCACATTCCTTTATTAGATCCCGAGAGCAGGGCTAGGAAAAGTTGTAGAAGCTACCAGGAAGCAGGTTCTGATTAGTAAAAAGAGTTTTCTCACAATTACAGTATATCTGAAAGAACATGGGCTACCTTGTGGGCTAGTGTATGCTTGTCACTAAAAGCAGTCACAGTAGGTAGAAGACCATCAGCCAGAGGGTTAATCCATGGAAGGAAAGTTTGCACTAGAGCAGTAGATAACCGGGAAGTTCCCTTTATACTCCATAGATTTAGCATTCCAATTAAGGGCCAAAATGTGTGGGGAAAAGCCTCACAAAGTAGACTTTGAAGGATGGGTAGGATTAGAATAGAACAAACCAAGGATGGCATTACTTAGAGAAAAACTATCATGAGTGAAGGAAGAATTTTCTTGAGCTATGAGTTGACAAGGAAGTCATCCTTGGAGATGTGTCAACAAATCACACTATTACTGGATAGTTTTAGTCAAGTAAAATCAAGTTAAAATGAATATCCGAGGAAGCCCTGGAGAGGAACACAGAGTATAAAAGGGTAGTATGTAACCCGAGGAAGGAGCTCTGGTGGCATGGTAGTTAAAGCATTTGGCTGCTAACCAGAAGGTCAGTGGTTCAAACCCACCAGCCTCTCTGCAGGAGAAAGATGAGCAGTCTGCTTCCATAAAGATTTACAGCATTGGGAACTCTGTAGACAGTACTCTGTCCTGTAAGGTTGCTGTGAGTCAGAATCAACTCGGTGGCAGTGGGTTTGGTTTTTGTTTTTGTAAGCAGATGGAACTGTGGGGAAGGGAGAGGATTACGCTGCCATGTACTGTCTTGGTTCTTGTTACTTGCCGTGGAGTCCAGTTGATTCCAGCTCATGGTGACTTGGTTGTTAAACCAAATTCATTGCCATCAAGTCAATTCCAACTTGGGATGTTAAAGACAGATTTTGCAGCAACATATTTGTTACATCTTCTCTGGGTCCCTTTGAACAAAGGATTCTGCAGCTAAAAAGTTTTGGAAAAACACCAAGTTTTATGTCACTCATTTTTTCTAAATCCTCCAAAATGTCCCATCTTGGTCTTATCCCTCACCCCTGCCATCTCTGATCTCATTTCTTGCCATTCTGCCCTACTTACTGCTTTCCCAGTTCTGCCTCTGGGCCCTCTTACTTTCTCTCTTCTCCCAGATGGCTGCTTTCTTCACTTCCTCCAGGCCTGGGCTCATGAGTCAGCTTATCAGTGAGGTTGTTTCTATGCAAAATAGAAGTGTCCCTCAACTGCTCGGCCAGCCTGTACTCTGTCTGCTTACTCTGCATAGCACCTCAGTATCTCTAGCATATATATGTATTTGACTTATTTATCTGCCTTCATGTATTATGTGTGTCTTAGTTAACTAGTACTACTAAATAGAAATACCACTAGTGGGTGGCTTTAACAAACAAATTCATTTTCTCACAGTTTAGAAGGTTAGTAGTCCTAACTCTGGGTGCTCACTCCAGGGGAAGGCTTTCTCTGTTGGCTCTGGGGGAAAGTCCTTATCTCTTTTCACCTTCTTCCCCTCTGTTCCTTGGCAGTCTACATGTGGAACGGCATCTGTCTTCCCCACCTCTGCTTTCTTCTCTGGCCTGATCTGCTTGTTTTATATCTCAAGGGTGATTGGCTTAAAACACACCCTACACTAATACGGCCTCATCACTATAACATGGAAAACTATATTCTCAAGTGTAATTTCACGCAGAAGATGATGTTGTTGTTAAGTGCTATCGAGTTATCTCCAACTCATAGTGACCCTATGTTCAGCAGAACGAAACACTGCCCAGTCTTAGCCAGCCTCATGATCCTTGCTATACCTGAGCCCATCATTGCAGCCACTGTGTCTATCCATCTCATTGAGGGCTTTCACCTTATTTGTTGACCCTGCACTTTACCAAGCATGATGTCCTTCTCCAGAGAATGGTTCTTTCTGACAATATGACCAAAGTAGGTGAGACGAAGTCTGGCCATTCTCGCTTCCAAGGAGCATTCCAGCTGCACTTCTTCCAGGACAGTACGTTGTTGTTATGTGCCATTAAGTCGGATCTGACTCATAGCGACCCCTCCTTGGGTTTCCAAGGCAGTATCGCTACGGAAGTAGATTGCCCACCCTTCCTTCCAAGGAGTGGCTGGTGAGTTTGAACCGCCAGCTTCCTGGTTAGCAGTTACGTGTTTTAGGCACTATGCTACCAGAGCTCCCTTGTTGTTGTTGTTGTTAAGTGCCATCTAGTCGTTTCCGACTCATAGCGACCCCATGCACAGCAGAACGAAACACTGCCCAATCCCACGCCAGCCCCACAATCTCTCCTATACTTGAGCCCATCATTGCAGCCACCGTGTCAATCCATCTCGTTGAAGGCCTCCCCCTCTTTCGTTGACTCTCTACCCTACCAAGCATGACATCCTTCTCCAGGGAATGGTCCCTTCTTACAACATGACCAAAATAGGTGAGACGAAGTCTGGCCATTCTTGCTTCCAAGGAGCATTCTGTCTGCACTTCCTCCAGGACAGACCTGTTAGTTCTTTTAGCAGTCCAGAGCTCCCTAGGAGTTAGGATTTACAACATGGATTTTTTGGAAACACAGTTCAGTCCATAACAGTGTGTAAGCTGGTTGAGGCCAGGGACATAACCTTCTTTGTTTACTGCTATGTCCCCAGATTAACAAGTACACTAATAGTATGATGAGTTTTATGTTGTTAATGTAATGTTTTTTGTATCTCTCACACTCAGGTTTATGGTATTTATTTATTTTTTTTACTAAAGTGGTGACTTCTGTATTTCAGTTGTGAACACAGAGTAGTATGGCATCTTGTCCCAGGTTGTCTGGGACTGTCCTGGTTTTAGGACTGCAAGTCCCACATCTCAGGAACTTCCTCCCCCTATTCTCAGGAAAACCAGGATGGTTGGTCACCCTTGATGAGGACAATTTGTTATTTTTCTGCCTTTTTTTATATGTAAGTGATTGATAGTTGAAATGTAGGGTGCTTCAGAGGAGGTACCATTGGTGCAGGATTTTTGTTGATAATTACATATGTTCATGGTTTAGTTTTAGTGGTACCTTTCAGATCTATTAGGGCAGCACTGTCTTGAAAATCAAGTTTGACTTCTTTGTTTACTTTTGATGCTGCTGTTAATAATGTGTGGAGTTTTGGTGGTATAGTGAGTAACACATTTGGCTACTAACCAGAAGGTCAGTGATTCAAACCCTCCATTTCTCCTTGGGAGGAAGATGAGGCAATCTACTTTGGTAAAGATTTACAGCCTTAGAAACCCAGTGGGGTCACTATGAGTCAGAATGGACTTGATGGCAGTGGGTTTTGGGTATTCATAATATGATGTCAAATAAACTTATCTTACATTTATCTCATTAACAATATCTTCTGCAACTTATAAAGATCTTCTGTATACATTTTCATTTAAACTTTCCAGTTAGCCTGGGGTGGGTATTACTCCTATTTTACAGTTTAAATACTTGTCCAAGATCACATAGAAGGTTAAATGATAGACCTGGACTTTTCCTTTCGAATTCCAAGTGCTTTCGAATTCCAAGTGCTTTCTAATTCCTGGGTTTGTTCTTTTCTTCCAACTGTCTCTTACCTCAGAAAAGTAAGATAAAATGAGAAAAAAAGTACTGAAAGGAGGTAATATATAAAAAAATTCTGGGTGAGAAGTCAGTCTGTTCATTCATTTTGTACTGATATATTTTTAAAACCCCGAAAGAAGTGGGAATAGTGTCATTGTTAAGTTTTTTAGCTATAAAGAACCTGTTGTGTAACTGTATGTTCTGGTTGGTCATGAAAAACTGGGAGTAGGTTCTCATTTAAATTGGACATAGATGACTTTTTCTAGATTAATTGAAAACAGCTCTTTTATTATTGCTTTAAAAGTACATTTGTTAAATACACTAAGACAAGCTTCTGCAGGCTTAAAAAATCCTCATCAGGCTTATTTCTTCTTTTTTAGCTCAGTGTCACTTAGAGGAATCACAAAGTTTCAGTCTTTCCACACTAAGGAAAGGAAACTAACCTTGAGTGTCTTCAGTGTGCTAGACTGTGCTAAGTACTGACATAAACCTGTAATTTTAAGGCCTTGTATTTTAGGGTCACTCACTGTAAATGAATGAGTGGATTTCCCTCCTTGAACACCTAGTCTGTTACAGTGCCTGTCTATTAATATTTCTCCTGGAGTGCATAAGCATGTTATTT